TGCGACCCATGTGCATTTTTTCAGAAACTTGAACCCTGCTCGACCCCCCTATTCTTTCCTAAAACATACCGCCATGGTAGGAATACATGGTGGCCGCTGTGCTGGTGAACCTAGAAGCAGCTGCCATGTTGGCCGTCGCCAATTGTTGGAACCGTTGGAGTTCAAGCGCGAAATTCTCCTGACACAATGAGATCTGTTTGTTAATCCCTGATGACCATGCGAAGGGGACGTCGTAGTGAGATGCTCCGTTCTCGTATGTGATTACCCAGTTGGACTTGGTGGATGGAGATAATATGACGGACTTGGGGGAGGCTCAGGTAAGCAAACATAAAGTAAAAGGAGTTCGGAACGAACCTCGACTTTGAAACCAACGGCACGAACATCATGCAACTTGCCCATTAAGCTCGTGCAAATCTCATCAGCACTCATGTCCCCGTCCTGATACACTATAACCCAGCTATTATCACAACCAATGGACACCATCTTCACTTCCGACAGTTTATTCCGCGTCTTGAGATGCTCATCGAGGGTTTTCGGTATTTTATCAAAGACACAGTAGGGGACGCCGTCGTGGCCTACTACTCCGATGAAGCCCTGACCATCGGGGGTGAACGTGATCCATTGGACGTTCCCCAGCTCAGTTTCACGACCCGTTTGAACGGTGGCGACGTGGCAAAATCGGAGAACGCGGCTTTCCGTGGGATCGTTCCCTGGTTTCTTCCCTGATAGATGTATGGTTCTCGTTAGGTGCTGAAGAAGGCGCTTGAGGGACTCACTATTGAATTCGTCAGTGCGAAGGAACCAGTCGCCATCGTTTGCGACGGAGACGTTGATGATTACTTCGCCTTTAGAATGCGCCTCTCTGATTGCAATGATGAGAGCTGCGGGACAATGGTCAGTCCTATTATGCGTGCATTCAGTAATGAAAAGCGAGGATGAGGAGTGCCTACGAACCACCACGTTGATGAACCTGATGAAACGACGCATCCTGGGGAAGAAGCCGGGAGGAAAGAGAAGTACACCATGGTGAGTACCAAGTAGTGGCAGAGAGGCGAGAATTCGTTCAAAGCTCAAGCTCGTTGGCCGCAACACTGCCAATGGGGTTGGAATTGCGGGGTGTGCCTAGATGTAAAAATAGACGGTAGGTTTCGTGTGGTGAGCCTGGTGATGACATTGCAAACACTGACCCGGCAAGATCGTCTTATAAAGCCTTGAAAAAGCCCACCAGTGAATCTAGGCTGTGGTACTACTATGGTTCGGGCTGACTGGTAGTTGGTGGAGAGGCGACATATGGAGGAGAGGAATTCAGAATCCCGCACCAAAGCGGATCATTGAAAGCCTGGTATTACTGGAATTTGCGAAGAACATATTGTCGTTGGGGAGAGGGCTCCTAGGCCAATCCTAGGCTCCAGGTTTTGGGGAGGCGCAATGCCTGCAACTGATTTGACCGGATGACTAAGTGCACAGCCACACAAATCCTGCCAAATGTCTCGTTTTATCTTCCCAAATAATTTCCTCGTGTTCCACTACAATTTCTAGGCTGGTAAAGGCATAGTAAATGTATGTATGTTAGATCACAATGTGAATGTGCGGTAAAATTGAATTGGTGACTATGCTAGGTCATCATGATAGTCAGAGTCTTGTCAAAGTCATAAAATGAGGCTCGTTTTCTGGCCTTTTATCTGCTGTTTGTAGTCAGATAGTTCATGCTTGAGGTCATATAAAATTTTCCAAATGAAGACACCATGTTTCCGCTTCCTTGTCACATCTGTTGGGCCAACGAGCGCTCAGCGAGATCTGCCTTGTGCTGAGACTCAATTTGTGCATTGGAGCACCGCTTTTGGCCTTTGGGCAATGCTTTGCGTCATCAAAAGTTTCTGGGAGTAATTTGGGTAGTAGAGATAATGTAGAGTGGCCCTAATAGTCATTGAGAATGTGTATCATCGACGCGTTGACGCGACGCGACGTCTCCTTCGCGTGATTATGTAATCTAATTTAGCGCGTTTCGCAGGCAGTTTTGAAAACAAAATAACTACTTTGCACGGACAATGGGCCTTACACTTTATAGTAAGACTACACTTTATTTTTGATTGTTCAGGGAATGGCCCGAGAATATCAAAATAATCTTACTGCTCCCCATAGATCAGGGAGATATCTACACCTCATCATTGACTTGCTTTGGAAATTCTCGGGCCATTCCCTAAAAAACTTGTTTTAGTCCCAATTTGTATATCAATATTTCCGGATATTGTGCTGGGTCACGCAGAATATTGATTTTCCTTGATTCTCGTCCATGTATAGGGAGACCAAATAGGTGCAAACACAAATTGATTTCGCAGGCATTGCGCCTCCCCACAGGTTTGAAGCAAGTTGTTCCGATCATGTGACGAGTCTACAGCTCTTTTCTTTCCTGGTCCTTTGCTTTCCCTCAGTGATAACTTTCATCCACCATCCCCATCTCGCACATCTGCTCTACAGCGCACCAGACAGACAATTGTAGAGCAGGAAGTGTCACATATTTCATCCAGCTTGATTTATTGTTAGCGAGTAGTGCACGCGCGAATGGAAGCTCCCGGATTTCGTGACATGTTGCTTCGAGACTCCTCAGGATGGACTCTCCTCTTTTTGGTTCTCCTTTTTGCTGCTCCTTACCGTTACAAGCAAGAACAACCAGCAATCGAATCTTCTCCCCAAGAAATCTACATGCACAGACTAGTTCTCATTGGTTTGGGAATTTTTGGGACGTTAATCTATACCTTAGGCCCTGTCGTCTTCATGCTTTTTCTGCCCTCTGGTGGACTCCGTGCCTTCGTCCTGTGCACCTTAACCTTTCTCTCCCCGTTTTGGGCGCTGGTTATCGTTTGGAGCTGCCGCGTGCCAATCCTAGACTCAAACCTCTCAGAGTCTTTCGTGATAGGGCAACACGTTCTTGGTTGGACGTGGTCAGCAGCCCTGTGGAGTGTCGCAACAGTGGTTTTAGGAGAATCACCCGGTGGGCAATCTTTCGGTTTTCAGCGACTTGGCCCAAGCTTCTAAGTAATAATGATCTTGTTACTGTCTAGACGGTATATGGCTCTTCGCCATCGTCATCATGGGAGTGATGGGTTTCCTTTTTGTAATTGATCCATTTTATCGGGCAGTCCTGCGCAAGTTTGGGCCACACGAATTGCGTTTCACGGAGCCTCCTCGCAAAGTTACCCTCGAGTTGTTTCGGTTTTTACGACTGGCCATTACTGCAACGCTCACCAGGCTGGTTCAAAGGATACGTGATTGGGTCGTAGCTCGAATGGTTCGTGCAAGTACAGCTCCACGCTCCCAACTCAAAGTGCGTACGAGGCTTCCACCATTTCTTACATATTGCTGATCGTTACCCTCTTCTATTCCTGCAGGGCACTCACACTCTGGCTGATAAATCTTTCTCTCCTGTGTAGATTTTTGAAGATTGGCTTTGGATTGGCTCTACATACATCACTAGTGCTTGTGGTAGCATTCCAAATCATACCCTCGAGCATTCTTGCTTCATTTTGCTCCACATTTTCCATCAAGTGCATATGTACCGCATTGCATGGCCATTATCACATACACAATGTCCAAACTTTTAATGTCTTTTTTGTTGCTTTTTTGGGAATGAAATTGCGAAGAGGCTGTGCTACGCGATTACCTCCCCTGTCACCATCAAAACCAGATATGCGTCGATTGCGTTCATCTGCGCAGCTGCTGTTCTTCTAGCTATTCACCATGTCCAAGTACGACACCATCTTAGACACCCTTTCTGCAAAACCAACTTGGTCGGCCCAAAATGAATCGGTGAGCTCTCAACCAAGTTGTCTGCCGCGTTTTGCGGCTGAACGACATGTAGGCTATTCTCGAACCATTCACCTTCATTACCTCCAATCCAGGTAAGGAGATACGCGGGAAGCTCATCGAGGCGTTTAATACTTGGTTGAACGTTCCAACGGACACACTGCTGGTCATCACGAAAGTGGTCAATATGTTGCATGCTGCGAGTCTGATGTGAGTATTGTAGCAGCACCTATTGGTTAGCATGCCTGATCTTCCAAAGGGTGGATGATATAGAGGATGATTCACAGCTCCGGAGGGGAAAGCCAGGTGTGTTGACTCACTTTTCTCTTCTTGCTCAAGGCGGCTTACCGTTAGATTCTACTTAACTTAGTTGCACACAAGATCTATGGCATACCACAAACGATCAACACGGCGAATTATGTATATTTCCTTGCTTATCAAGAGCTCTTTGCCCTCCGCAACAATCCCACAACCTCACCTCCACGCAAAGACCTAGATGCCCTCGTGACAGGTCCGCCCTTTCACTTTAACGACGTTCTTGACTTACCCTCCTTAGAGGAACTACTGTCCCTTCACCGCGGCCAGGGGCTTGAAATCCTGTGGCGCGATTCCCTCCAATGTCCCTCCGAAGAGGAATACATAAGTATGGTAAACAACAGTCAGTTCAGTTCAATGTCGCCCACGGCGCCGGAATTTACGCAGCATTCCCAGAAACTGGCGGATTGCTGAGAATGGGCGTCAAGATTATGATGGCTTGCGGTACTACAAACATCGGCGTGTACGCTTCACTTGTTTTGACATCTGAACTCAGCTAACCGTTTGTGCTATTCAGCGACTACGTTCCACTTGTCAATCTCATTGGAGTGTTTTTCCAAATCCGCGATGACCTCATGAACCTGCAGAGTACGGAGGTGAGTAAGCTTCGCTTCTGAACTGTGTTACAACCCTAATTTTCCCCAGTACACGTCAAATAAAGGCTTTGCGGAAGATCTCACAGAGGGCAAATTCTCTTTCCCTGTCGTACATGGCATCCACGCCGACACGTCAAATCGTCAAATTCTCAGTCCGTCTTCATTCGTCTTACTCTTCACTCCATTTACTCACCCATTTGCGCAGACGTGTTGCAGAAACGTCCTACGACTCCTACGTTGAAGGTACACACAATATCGTACCTAAAAGACCACACGAAGTCGTTTGAGTATACGCTCTCTGTGCTCAAAATCCTCGAAGCAAAAACTCGGGCCGAGATTGCGAGGTTGGGGGGGAATGCAGGGTTGGATAGGATCGTGGACCTGCTGCATGTGGATGAGACAAACTTCGCGCAGCGATGAACGTGTCTTCTCTTTAAAGGGGTGAAGGGCATTGGTTTGAAGAAGCTCAAGCTAGCTGTTTCAGCGGCGTTATTTTGTAGGTCCACACTCTTCTTTCACACGCATACTCATGTCTTTGATAGATACCTCATGTATGTATCTGAGCAATTAGACGCCTAATCGATCGATTTAACCTTCAGAAATTGATTTATTTGCTTTGGATACAGTTCATGAACACAGTTCACGACCATTGCGACGGTGGTTTTCGCCTTTCTACGCAGATTTTGTGTAAATGATTGCGTTTGTGCGCAGCATATGTCGGCAGCGCACCTGGTAACGTTACGTCATGGCCTTATCTGACCTTGAGGAGACACGCCATGTCCGGAAGGCTGGAATGACATCCTTTATAACAGTTGACAGTTGAGTTCGAGGTTGCTCACTACACTTGGACTCTACTATGAGTTCTACTGGAGAAAACAATGGCACCCCAACGAATCCTATGCTTTCGCAAGGAAGTCGACAAATGCTGGACCTTATCAATCGACTACATAGCACGGGGTAAGTCTGCGTTTCTCGCCCTTGGGGAACTCAAGGGATACTGAACCTCCTCAGAGTGCAGACCGACATTGATCTTCCGCAAATCGCCGTCATTGGCTCGCAAAGCGCCGGCAAATCTTCTTTGATCGAATCTATATCTGGAATTACGCTACCTCGCGCTGCGGGGACCTGCACTCGGTACTTGTGTATCCTTCAACCTTCTGCTCAACACACACTCATCACATGTCTTCCCAAGGTGTCCGACGGAGTGTCGTCTCTCGCATAGCAACAGCCCTTGGCAATGTGTCGTTTCGTTGCGGTTTATTACAAATGAGAGGGGCCAGGCCCTTGGTGAAGCACGAACTGAGCTGTTTGGGCCGACCATCACAGACAAAGCTGAGGTTGAAGGTCGAATCAGGCGTGCGCAACGCGCCATTCTGAATCCTTCAAAGCCCCGGAGCGACTTTTTGGAAGCGGATGAAGACGTCGCCAATCCGGAGCTCAGCTTTTCGAACAACTGTGTTACACTCCAGATCAGTGGACCTGATATTGCGGACCTATCCTTCTGCGATCTACCTGGTTTGTCTTGGGGCCCTATTATACCTGTCTCGTACTGACGCGTGGTCTTTGTAGGCCTGATTGCAAGTGTCAGCAGCAGTAAAGGAAACTCAAATGACATCGCTCTTGTCGAAAACCTTGTTACAGCCTATATTAAGAAGCCAAGTTGCATAATCCTTCTGACCGTGGCTTGCGAAAGTAAGTCATCATTTCTTCCTACATCGTGACTCTTTCATACACCTTCCAATAAAGCCGACTTTGAGAACCAGGGTGCTCAAACCCTCGCGAAGCGATATGACCCGGAAGGAAAACGAACGATTGGTGAGGATGATTCAATGTCACTCACAACCACCAGCTAACATCTTATATAGGTGTTTTAACGAAACCCGACCGTATTCCCACTGGCGAAGAAGTCAATTGGCTATCCTTTATCCGAAACGAGAGGGAACCGTTGGAGAATAACTGGTACTGCGTGAAGCAGCCAAGCTCTAGCGACCTGAAGCAGAAGATAACTTGGCAAGATGCTCGTCGGCGAGAGGATGAGTTTTTCAGCATGACAGCTCCCTGGTCGGAGCTTGACACGGTCCATCAAAAGTACCTGCGCACCGCCAATCTAGTTGAACGCCTCAGTTCAGTCTTATCTGAACTTATCATCAAGAGGTGAGAATAGGAAATCGATTGTTAACCTAGGTTTGATATAATGTTCCGCAGGCTACCGCAAATCCAAGATGAACTCGAGAAAGCCATTGCAGAGACGCGTCTGGCTCTCAACAGTCTCCACAAGGAACCCTCCAACGATCCGCTCAACGAGATCGTCACACTTCTCCACATTTTCACAAACGATGTCGCTAAACACGTCGAGGGTGTCCCCCATAAAGCTGGTCTGCTTCAAGCGATCCGCCCGGCTCAGGAGCGCTTCCGACGTGGAATCCGTGTGACTGCCCCCAAATTCCGTCCATACGAGAGAGTGTATGTTGGACACAGGCATCTATTGAAGCCCAAGTTTCTCTCTAATGAAGAGGGAAACGATGACGACGAAGGAAGTGGTATCGATGACAGTCCAGGTTTTATTGGATCTGCGCGCAGTGATGACACTGACGATGACGGCGACACCGACGACAATGATGACGATTTGACGGGCCAGGGCCAAGGCGGTATCATATGTATAGATGAAGTACTTGAGATGGCGCAAGAGTGAGTGGACTTGCTTTGGACCCTGGGTTTGAACAGCGCTGACGTGAAACATAGTGCGCGCACTCGAGAACTACCTGGAAACTATCCTTTCGTCGTACAAGAGTTATATATCAAGGAGTTTACCAATAAATGGCACCTCCCTTCACAGTCCCTGGTTACCACTGTCCATACCCTCGTCATGGAGCACTGCAAGAAGCTCGTTACAAAGCACTGCAACCATTTTGGTCAGGGGACTTTGGAACAACGCGTCAAGTAGTTCAACTGATCGAATCGTTTTGAATTGACTTTGACTAATGTATAATACCAGGGCGATCATCCAGAAACATGTGAATGAGTGCCTCCAACGGGCAGAGGAGAGAATTGAATGGCAATTGAAACTCGAGGAACGACCCTTCACCTTGAACTCGCATTATTTCTCGGATTACAAGGATAAATTCTTCGCGTACTACAAGGGTTCCCGACGGAAAGACGAGGAAGGGGATTTGATGGAACTTATCCATAACTTCATTAAGCCAAAACCAATGCCAGTAAGCGAAGGTCCATTTGCGAGTAACAACAGGTTATACAGGGAGCCCAGCGTTCCTGGTCCTACTGGAGTTGGCAAGGTCCTTGCTGGGCTGGCGGAGATGGGCCTCACACAAGTGAAGGCAGAGGACATCCCAAAACTTCTGCCTCCTGATAAGATGCAGCCTGCTCTCCACATCATGTCCGACGTCAGGGCGTACTTTCAAGGTGAGTGCTATACCTCCGCTCTTCCAATCAATGCTAAGGGGAATCGCCCGCAGTTGCCTACAAGCGTTTCTCTGACAACATCTGTCTGGCAATTGACTTTGAGTTGGTTCGGGGTGTCGAACGGAACCTTATAACAGCGCTCTACGCGACTTTAGGAATCAATGGACCTGATGGACCCCGCATCTGCAAGGAGCTTGCCCAGGAGAGCCCTCATCTCGCTGATCGCCGCGCGGACCTCAAAGGGAAGCTTCAGAGGCTGCTATCCGCGAGTTCAGAGCTCTTGCTAGTCAGCGTTTAATCGATTTCGAACTTGTTGGAATATTGCAGGTACTGCGTAGCCGCGTATCTTTACTATTACTCCCCATTCCTTTCGGCGAACGCGACACTGTATGTTGTAATGACTTGTGACGTAGTAGACCATGATTTTTCAACCTTTCACCTGACAACGTACCCTACTCAGGATTTGTGGGCTTATCTTGAACCCTACATAATCAGTGACTGCTAGCATTTGCGGTCAGTCGCATGAATCATTTGCAGAGCACAGAGGTGAGTCGAGGTAGTATGTTATGTTCTGGTTTCACGAGATCTAACTTTGTCCGGCTTCGTGTGAAGGTATCGCAAGAAACATCTAGATTTTGTAGTACTTACGCGCATCTACGCCTACCCACACCTTCCAACGAAAGTCGGCTAACTTTCAGCACGCCTTTCTGATTCTTCCCAACTCTACTTCATCGAAACCGAAACACGCGTTGGCAGTAGACCTACATGCCATTCGGAGACAAAAGCAGCGCGAGTTCAACACTTCGTTTTCTAGTCCTTGTCCCACCAAAGGAAATCAGAAGATCGCACTGCACTCCTTTTCTGGGGATCCAACACCACGGTTGAAGGAGTCCCTTCCTCTTGTATTCGCTTCAGAGAGCCCTAACCATGGCAATGCAAGCTTTTCTGACAATGATCCACCATCTATTCAAGCCGCCTCTCTACTCTCCGGACACGTAATACCCTTCTCTAAAGGATTCGCACCACTATGGGCGTCAGAAGAAGACACGCGCTTTTAAAGAAGCTGAAGAAATCTGTATCAAAGCGAGCCCACTGCTTATAAGAGCCACCTGGTGCGGCCCTGGTCAATTTCATCCCTTTGCATGTCTGATTCTAGCTTTTCTGATAGCGATATAGCTGCGTTTATGCCTCCTATCGCTGCCGACGATAATGCTGCCAACTACGCTGGTGTTGGTCTTTCCAACCCAAAGCTATCACACGGTCGCCGGCAGATGCTCGACCTTGTGAATCGTCTTCATAGCACAGGGCAAGTCCGGGTTCCTGTCCCGCCAGTTAACAGCTCACAATTTTTCGCCTTTAGTGTCCAGGTCGACATCGATCTCCCGCAAATTGCGGTCATTGGTTCACAAAGTGCTGGCAAGTCGTCTCTGATTGAATCAATCTCAGGAATCACGTTGCCACGTGCTGCTGGGACTTGCACTAGGTATGTATCCTCTACTCTTTATAAGACCGGTTTCATTTGAACGCTGTCCTAGGTGCCCAACGGAGTGCCGTCTCTCACGCAGTGACAACCCCTGGCAATGCGTCGTATCTCTGCGATTCATAACGGATGAGAAAGGCCAGCCTCTCGGACAGGCTCGAAATGAGCCCTTCGGAGCTATTATCACCGACAAAGCTGACGTCGAAGGGCGGATTAGGCGTGCACAACGCGCCATTCTGAATCCTAAGAAACCCCGGAAACATTTTCTGGAAGGAGAGGACGAAGACGGCCTGGACTCCGAGCTTAGTTTTTCAAACAACTGTGTTTCGCTTCAAATCAGTGGACCAGACGTTGCTGACCTATCTTTTTGCGATCTACCTGGTTCGTGTTTCTGCCTCATTTGATCCTTTGGTCATATTGACGTGTTATTCTAGGGTTAATCGCAAGTGTGAGCAGCACCCGAGGAAGCGCGAACGACATCGCCCTCGTCGAAGGTCTTGTCACGTCTTACATCAAGAAAACAAGCTGTATCATTCTTTTGACTGTGGCTTGTGAAAGTAAGCTGTTCTTTGCACCTTGTTCCGCAGCATACCGAGATTCATGCAATTAGCCGACTTCGAGAATCAAGGCGCCCACCGCCTCGCCAAGCAGCACGACCCAGAGGGTAAAAGGACGATTGGTAAGATAACAAACTATTTCAGCGCTATTTTCACTGTTCAAGATATTTACTAGGTGTCCTCACAAAGCCAGACCGTATCCCCACAGGCGAAGAATCCAGTTGGCTTCCGTTCATCCGGAACGAAAAGGAAGCCTTAGAGAACAACTGGTACTGTGTGAAACAGCCCAGTTCCAATGATATCAAACAGAAGATGACGTGGTTCGGAGCTCGCCAAAGTGAGGATGAGTATTTCAGCATGACAGCGCCGTGGTCGGAGCTCGACACGGTTTATCAAAAGTACCTCCGCACATCAAACTTGGTCGAGCGCCTTAGCTCGATATTGTCTGATCTCATTTCCAAGAGGTAGGGGCCACGAAGTTAATGAGTTGAACAAATTGATTATATCGTTTTGTAGGCTACCACAAATTCAAGATGAACTAGAGAAATCGATCTTCAACGCACGGCAGGCTGTATCCGCTCTCCCGAAGGAACCCTCAAATGACCCTCTTAACGAGATCGTCACTATGCTCCATGTTTTCACAAACGATATTTCCAAACACGTTGAGGGTATTCCTGATGAAGATGGCCTCCTCCAGTCAGTCCGCCCCGCTCAGGAGCGATTTCGTTTGGAAATCCGTAAAACCGCGCCCAATTTCCGTCCGTATGAGAGGAAGTACGCTGGGCGAAGGCATATGTCGAAGGTCAAGTTTCTTACCAATGAGGAGGGCCACGAGGAAGTTGAAGGTAGTGAGAGTGATGAAGACGACTTGGAGAAAGACTTTTCTGGCGAGCTGGTCGTTTCACAGCAACAGCGTCAAGGCCGTGGCGAAATCATTTGTATAGATGAGGTTCTTGAGATGGCGCAACGGTAGGTCACTATCCCTTCTTATCTTTTTAACGGGTACTGATTATGGACCGTAGCGCACGTACCCGTGAATTGCCCGGAAACTACCCTTTTGTTGTTCAGCAGTCGTTAATCGGCAAAACGATCAAGAAATGGCACTTCCCTTCTCAAATTTTGATCAAAACTGTTCATGCCCTCGTCATGGAACATTGCAAAAAACTTGTTACGGAACACTTTAGCCATTTTGGTCAGGGTACTCTGGAGCAACGTGTGAAGTTAGTTTCCGCTCCCTTGATCTGACATTTAACGATTGACCGGATGGTCAGAACTATCATTCAGAAACATGTCAATGAGTGCCTCCAACGTGCGGAGGAGCGGATCGAATGGCTCTTGAAGCTTGAGGACCGGCCTTTCTCCTTGAACACACACTACCTCGCAGACTACAAGGACAAGTTTTACTCGTACTACAAGGGAGCTCGAGAGAGAGACGAAAAGAGCGACTTAATGAAACTCATCAGTAACTACCGCCCAAGCAGCAATACGGTAAAATCTACCCCAACATACGGAGATCCACCTCCTACGGGATTGGCTAAAGTTCTTACTGGATTGGCGGAGATGGGCTTGGCTGGAATCAAGCCAGAGGATATCCCAAAACTTTTGCCACCGGATCGGATGGAGCCCGCTATCCACATCATGTCCGACGTTCGAGCGTATTTCCAAGGTGGGTCTATCTTCTTTTCACTCTTTGGTTGAGGTTGAAGATACAACGCCGCCAACTAGTTGCCTACAAACGCATTGCCGACAACGTTCCTCTGGCCGTTGACTTCGAGCTCGTTCGGGGGGTTGAACGAGATCTTCTCAAGACGCTGTACACGACGCTAGGCATCAACGGTCCTGATGGACACCGCATCTGCAAGGAGCTCGCGCAGGAAAGCTCACACATTGCTGATCGTCGTGCTGATCTGAAGAAGAAACTTGAGAGGCTGGAATTCGCGAGCTCAGAGCTCATGCGTATTGGTGTCTGACTCTCATTTTGACACCCCGTAGTAATCTTGGACTCTGTAGCACTTTGACGGAGTATTTTGGCAAATAAATCAAATCCTGTTTGAATTCGTATTTTTGGCAGCTCGATTTCTGCCCTTTCGACCCTTCCTCAACTTCGCTGATTGTCTGGAGTCTTACCAAGAAAAAAACTAACTTTTGGCTCACGGCGACTTGGATCAGGCGCCGAAAGGACACGCGGAGCTCCGTCCACACAATCCACTGGCTTCCGACTCCCTCGTTCAGTGGCAGTATTGGGTTACTCAAGCCATTCATACCAGCGGTAAAACGGCACAGAAACATGTCCTATATGGATTCAATTGACCCAAGTATCTCCCGACTTTCGACTGTGATGTCGTTGGCGCCCATACCTTCAAATTCACTTGCGGAAACGCCACCATCTTCTTCTACGAATCCAAGCTTCACACTTGTTTTTGAGGCTGTTGCTACGCAATTGGCCTTCGCCCCTCAATTATGACTCAACTCAGAAAGCTAAATAACCGCCCCGTTTCCAGAGTTAAGCTTGCGATAAGCACCTCAAAAGCCTTTTAAACCAGATTGTTCGATTGCGATTTCTAAAACTCTCGGTCTTTCATATCCCACACCGCTCCATCTGCATGCCAAACCTCGATACAAGTGTCTCCACCAACGAGTCCATGGATATTTCACGATCCGGAAGCGTAGAATGTGCCGGAGATGGTGTCGGTTTGTCAAACCCTCAGTTGTCTCATGGCAGACGTCGTATGTTGGATCTTGTCAACCGTCTACATAGCACCGGGTAATTACTCTCGACCATCAATATTGTGGGTCCTTGACTGACATCCCTACCTCCGAAGCGTTCAGGTTGATATTGACCTTCCGCAAATCGCGGTTATCGGGTCTCAAAGTGCTGGAAAGTCTTCGCTGATTGAATCAATCTCTGGTATTACTCTGCCTCGCGCCGCTGGAACATGCACGCGGTCAGCACTCTTTCCATCGAGTGCCGTATTTCTGCTGACTTGATGTCGACAGTTGCCCAACCGAATGTCGACTTTCACGCTCTGAAGAAGCCTGGAAGTGTATCGTATCGCTTCGTTTTATCACTGACAACAAAGGGCAACCTCTTGGCCAAGCTCGGAACGAAACTTTTGGCACTACGATCTTCAACAAAGCTGAAGTAGAAGATCGCATTAAACGCGCTCAGCGTGCTATACTCAACCCCAATAAACCTCGCAAAACTTTCCTAGAAGGTGACGACGAAGACGTCCAGGACTCCGAGCTGAGCTTCTCCAACAACTGTGTAACCCTTCAAATCACTGGGCCAGATGTGGCTGATCTATCGTTTTGTGATCTTCCTGGTGTGTAACCTGTTAGTTATTTTTTCCGGGGGTTAATTCTTCTGCAATGTGGTCTAGGTTTGATAGCCAGCGTCAGTAGCTCTCGAGGGAGCTCAAGCGACATCTCCCTCGTTGAAGGCTTGGTCACCTCATACATCAAGAAGCCCTCTTGTATCATCCTGCTGACCGTCGCATGCGAGAGTGCGTCGTTGCAGTTGTAGTCAATGGTCGCGCTCGTGGCTGACGTTGATATTTCACAGCCGACTTCGAAAATCAGGGCGCACACCGCCTCGCCAAGCAGTACGATCCGGAAGGCAAGAGAACCATCGGTAATGATTCCGCGTTAGCTTTTCCTACGGCGCTCAACATCGACGCATGTCAACAGGAGTCTTGACGAAGCCAGATCGTATTCCCGTGGGCGAGGAGGCCAATTGGCTTCCTTTCATTCGAAATGAAAAGGAACCGCTCGAAAACAACTGGTACTGCGTCAAGCAGCCCAGCTCGAACGACATCAAGCAGAAAATAACGTGGTCTGAGGCTCGCCAACGGGAAGACGAATATTTCAGCATGACTGCTCCTTGGTCCGACCTCGATACCATGTATCAGAAGTATCTGCGCACGTCAAACCTGGTTGAACGGCTGAGCTCAATTCTGTCTGATCTCATTTCAAAAAGGTGAGCCTTCTAGCTAAGCGACTTTCTAAGTACGACTTTCATCATTTAACAAACCTACAGGCTACCCCAAATTCAAGACGAATTGGAAAAATCCATTTTCAAGGCACGGGAGGCTCTGAATTCCCTCCCAAAGGCACCTTCCAACGACCCTCTCAATGAGATCGCCACGTTGCTGCACGTTTTCATCAGTGATGTCTTCCAACATGTCGAGGGAGTTTCGGATGAAGATGGCCTTCTACAGGTCATCCGTCCAGCCCAAGAGAGATTCCGACGGGATGTTCGCTCTACGGCGCCCAAGTTCCATCCCTTTGAACGGAAACATGGCAGCTCGAAGAAAGTTACCAGGCCCAAATTTCTTGCTAATGAGGAACAGAGTGAGATCGAGAGTGAGCCTGAAGATGAGGACTATCAATCGGATTGCTGGGGTGGCTCCGTTGGGGCGCGAGTTCCGAAGAAACGCAAGCGGGCAGAGGCAGAATCGATATTCATAGATGACGTTTATGACAGGGCACATCGGTGACAACGTTCAACCCTCATTCATTTGGCGACATTGACCTGTAGGATTTAGCGCACGCACTCGAGAGCTTCCGGGGAACTACCCCTTTGTTGTCCAAGAGACTTTCATCGCCGCTATCATCAAGGAATGGCGTTACCCCGCTGTCGTTTTGTGCAAGACCGTTCACACTCTCATTCTCGAACACTGCAAGAAGCTGGTGACAAAACATTTTGCCTTCTTCGGCCAAGGAACTCTTGAGCAGCGCGTCAAGTGAGGCTACTTTCCTCTTGTGTTCAAGTGGTGCTCACCCGTGTCTGATGATAGGGCCATCGTACAAAAACACGTCAATGAGTGTCTTCAACGTGCCGAGGAGAGGATTGATTGGCTCTTGAAGCTGGAAGATCGCCCCTTTTCCCTCAACATCCATTACCTCACCGACTACAAGTACAAATTCCTGGCACATTACAAAGGCTTACGCAAGAAAGATCAGAGGGCCGAACTAATGGATAGCATTGAAAGCTATCGTCCTTCCACGTCGCAAACTAATTCTAGCCGCGCCAAAACAGTCGAACCTCAGGAGATGGGTATCGCAAAAGTTCTCAGTGGGTTGGCCGAAATGGGACTCCCGGGTATCAAGCCCGAAGACATCTCAAAGCTCCTTCCTCCGGACAGGATGGAGCACGCTCTCATCATCATGGCCGATGTCCGAGCGTACTTCCAAGGTCAGTCTTACATCCCTCTCCGCCAGGTAGGCTTACTGATCGTTCTTGTCCACAGTCGCGTACAAACGTTTTGCCGACAACGTTCCCCTGGCGATCGATTACGAGCTGGTTCGAGGAATAGAGCGTGACCTGCTACAGACGCTGTACGGAAGGTTGGGCATCAATGGTCCGGAAGGCCAGCGCATCTGCAAAGAGCTTGCCCAGGAGAATCCTCACATCGCCGACCGCCGTGAGGATCTTCAGAAAAAGCTGGAGAGGCTGCGGATCGCAAGCTCCGAGTTGATGCATATGGGCGCTTGATGGGTGTTTGTCTACTTGAATGAATATATCGCTATACCTTCTTGCCAATCTATGTTTCCTTTCCCAACGTTCACCGCCTTTCATCTAACCATGCAGAACTCGAGCGCTCCAGTTCTAGAAGAATTCAAATGTCGGCAGCCGAGAGATCGGTCCGAAGATACCATCAACCCAACTGGGTGAGGCTTGTGCGTATTGTTCTGAACGAAGGCGTGTGCCATGGAAAGTTTATCAGTTTTTTTTTTGGTTTTATTTGATGCGCGCCAACTTCAAATTGAAACAACCAACAAAGTTGCTCAAAGCTGACATGACCGGCGTGCTTCACCATCGTGGGAGACCGTGTACAACAAAATGTTTATCGCTTATGCATTATGCTCCAAACTTTTTGGCCCCCTCTTTGGATTGCCTGGATCCCGGTGTTCCGGTGTTGAGCGAGAGCTTCTTGGTGTGAGGGGTGGACCATGTCACCTTGTATGTCCCAGTCACTTTCATGAAAAGAATCCTAGATCCCGCTGATTTACTGAAATATAGTGAAATTAAAGTCACCTATCCGAATTTCGACCGTCCGAATTCAAATCTGTCGCCGGTTTTTTCCAGAGAATTCACGGTCCTGAGATACCCGATTCGATGTGTTTGCTTGTCCACAAACAAGGCTTGAGGGATGCGGGGTTCAAGCGGGGTTGGTTGTCCTACTCGGTACCTGTCAGTACCTCAATCATTCAAAGTGGTTGAACTGACAGGCAAAGCATTCGAAGATATCCAATGGAGAAATGAGGTACACCATGTCCCTCTCAAGCTGGCAAAGTCCAGAACACTCTCTGGTTTTTCGCAATCGCTTCTCGTGGCCTGCGTTGGTGGTCTTGGCAGTCACCAATGGCTATCTTGCACTCTCTCTTCGAATTATCTTTTGGTTATTCGTGTATCTAGGGCGCTCGAGTCTCCAATACCTTCGCATCGCCGATAGATCTAGGGCTCGAGCGCCCACCCATCATCCTCTTTCCGCAACACAGCACTTGTCCCTGGCCCTGGCTCCAGAAAATGAAGAGAGCGGGCAGATTAAAAGTAGCAACTTACGACTTACATCCGCCTTGCACCCTCAAAATATTCTTCAAAGCAATGCGTCTGGACTATCCCATTACTCGGCCTTTCCCACAGAGATGGCGATGGTTTACTCCGCTGTCCTTCGTGGGTGCATTCATTGCTTTGGTGTTTCTATGCATCATAAATGGTGAAGTCTACGTAATGTATGAAGGCTGTTGCCTTTTGACGACTCCTTAGTGGCCTTTACTGGATATGAAACTGTCACTGTCTTCGAAAGCGACTTCAATGCTACCCAATCATTCTGGTACAACAAATATATGCCTTATCCCGTTCCCACTCCCGGAACACTTTGTGATCCGCACGTCTTCAATGCCGGAGATCCATTCACAACAAATTACGCCTTCTTTGAGTGGACCGTTGAATCTATCATCCAAGCTAATGCAGGCAATTCTGGCCTTTCTTATAAAGGCGAAACGCTGAACGGCTGCGATGTCTCGTCCATTTACGTGGATGGAGATCTTCGGACATGGTCGGTTGCTTTTACCGTGGTAGTGCAATGTCAACACGAGAACCTTTACAAGATCAGCGCAAAGACGTCCTTTACTATTTCGTTTTTGCCAGGGAGGAACTCGCCTCTGTTGGGAATGGTGAAGTCGGCTGAAGGGAGTGATATGCGTCCTGCCGTTTTCGATACACTGTATGTATGTTTACTGCCTAGTTTCGCTTCATCTAACCGACAGATGTGTCATCAGGCTGCAGACTGCATCTGTAGATCTCGGACGCAGAACTTATAACGCCCTCTTGACCTCTAATTACACAAGCCCCGTTGCCGTATCCCTTCAGGCAGACATTACGCCTTGTCCCATGTCACTTGGTTCTTCTGCGGCATGTGCTCTAGCAACCCCCAACTTCACCATCTCCTCCGCTGGTGTTGTCATGACCAACCTTTCTTTTTCGCAAGACACCCCACCCGACCCGGTTACTGTCTTGGATGATAATGTCAAGCTCCCCATCTCTAATCTGTTGCAAACTGTTTACGCCATCATTCGGGTGGAACTCGGAAACCCCAGCCCAAACAATTTCATTCTCCACCCAAACGTGACGGATAGTATAATCGTGTCCACATTTCCCGCCACGCCATTGAACCAGGGTTTCGAAGCCTTGGTCTCGGTGCTTTACCAGGAGTGGACAAACCCCGACCCAGAAACGAAAAAGTATTTGCCTGTGACTGTGTCTGGACCAGCAAACATTCAAGTGGTGTACCCATGCCGATTCCAACAGCAGAAAACACCGGGCCAACTTTTTATATCAGTATTGGTTGCGACATTGACCACGTTCTCCACGGGATGGGCTGTCTTCATGATCTTGGCTGCCTATTTTGCAAAGCGGAAATGTCCATCAGGCAAGGCTGGCTCGTCGACTATCTTGCTGCCTTGTTAACACTTCTTCCCCTCTAGCGAATCAGTGTCAAGTGCATAGCCACATTGAGCTGCACCAACGATCGAATTCAAATGACGGACACCCTACTCAACCCGGGGATACATATTACAAGGATTATCAACCAGTTTGAAGCCTAATCTCTTTCGACTCCGCGCTTGGTCACGAAAAATTGTTTCCATTGGGTTACGATGGCTCTACATTACTGTGAAGAATTCGAAAAGACCTCAACTCCTTTGTATCTTAAGAGCTAGCAAGAAAAGGGCGATTGGTAAGTTAGTAGGGATCCTGGATCCGGAGTTATCATCGACCACGAAAGTAGTATCGACCAATGCAGTCCGTTCGGCGGGCGAGAGCTCAGAGACGCCAAGTGTAGCTAGAGCGTTGACAAGAGCTTCCCACGAGGATTCTGAGACTGAAATTTGGTTCCACTGAATTGGTATTAGTGGTGTTGCTTTCCGATTTTTGATTTGACTTTTTCGCTGGCAGGCAACTTGGAACAGTCGTCAAAGATCCCTCTATGTAGTCCAGTGGCCACCAATATAAGACTTGTTCACCGAGATGGAAAGATACTCATACAATTGCCCTTAAAAGGCTGCTAAGTTGGTCCGCTTCTGCTCTTGGGCCAACGCCCACAATGGCTTCTGACGCGCTTGCGCTCCCGGGCGTTATCCATCCGACCATCTCATCGACCTTGCACTTCTTACCCATGTCAACCACCAGACCCGTCTCGATGCTCAAGAAAATGCAGCTATTGGCGCCGACGATGAGGACACAATTGGCGAGGTGTAACATCTTGGATGATCACATAGCAGTTGGGTAGAGAACAGTGTGCGATGCAAAGAGACACCTGAACCCCAAGTTTACTGTTGGAGCCATAAGGTTGAATTTGTGATACTGTCAAATCGAGGAAGGAAAACGCCGCCGTTTGAGGGAAGTTGGCAGGACGAGGATGCGTTACTTGATTTTTTAGTGTTCCGTCGGAAGACTGACCACTCCGGTCTCTTCCGAACCAACTCAGGATTAATAGTCAAGTAGGCAGTTGAGCAAGGACCTTATGTTCATACAGTGAACAACTTGAGTTCACCGCACGATAGTCTCTTCAAGACAAATTCCTTGGGTATCGCAGTTCCTTGCACAGCCAATCTTGTAGCAAAGATACCAGCTGCCGCAGGTGGTCAAGCTCAGAAGCAAGAAAAGTGGTATTTTCCTTTCAATGACGTTCAACAAAATGGGAACAAGAAATACAAACAGACCAAGATAAGAATCTAAAGACTCATTCCCCGCCCTCTTCCACCAAGGGCTCAGCCAAATCACGGTCTACACCCCGCTCAGGCGATCCATTCTGAAAGCTCGGGGGTATGGGCGAGGAAGCCGAGGGGACGACATAATATCCGCTTCCCGCTCCGTCTCCGCCTGTCGTGGCTTCCCAGAAATTATTGGGTCGGGGTTGCGAAGAGACCCTCCTGAGAGCCGCGTCCCACGCACTGCGCAAGGGCCCCGACTCTTGTTTGATGTTAGATTCAATGATGAGGGCTTCCATCTCCGGCGTGAGTTGTGCGATGAGCTCTTTGGTTCGTTCCTGTGATACGGGACGCATGCGTGCGAAGCATGGATCGTTCACGGGTATCTTTTTGGAGGTAGAAGAAGAGGGAGGGGGATGGTTGATTGAGTTTAGTTCTGTGTGTAGCATTACGCTGGCTGCGAGGAGGAAGGTGATGGGTTAACTGTTTGAAAGGGTTGAAAGTCGACGTACTCTCGCGATCGGCCAAGCCGACGACGGCTTGTATTCGTTCTAATAAAGCTTGTTGCACGTTTGGATTCAGCTCCTCGTCTAGTGGTAATAGATATGGCGCAACTCTAGTCAGCGCTATACTGAGAAAGAAGAATAGTTGGTGGAGGAACAAGATGTGTTGATGCGTGCTGCGGTATGGGAAGAAGAAAGTGAGGATCGTTGAGGTGGACGGTGGGGAGAGGATGAGGGCCATCTCCGCTGCGAAGAGGGCGAAGAAGAGGATGTATCGCCACTGTTGGGCTTAAAATTAGAACGTGAAAAAAGGTGAAGAGGCAGATAAAAACATACGAAAGATATCGGAGTGCGTTGGCTAACGGCGGACAAGAAGAGCAGAAAGATGCCAGTTACGAAGTGGTTGTATATAGACGATCGCATGAGTCCAAGATGGAGAAACTCACGCATCGTTGAGCAATGTTTCCGCCAAGGAAGAACGACTGGTCCAAACCTGTACCACCATGAGGATACTTGACGAAGAGAACGAGCAAGCCACCAATACTCACCGATCATACGCGAAACGAACGACGGGGTCCTTCAACGCCTCAAACGCATCTCTAACCATCATGAACCTCTCCTCCCCATTCTTTCCGACCTCTGGGCGATCCGGGTGGTTTCGCTTCGCAAACTGCCTAAAAGCGAGCTTGAGCTCCGTTTCATCGGCGTTCGGTGAGGCCCCGAGAATCTGGTAGAAGTTGGGCTCCATGGTGCGAGCGGTCTGCACCATATTGTACAGCAGGTACCCCAGCACGACGAAGGCGAATGTGTACCCATAGTGCTTGCGGTACTGTGGCGTCCCTGGGGATGCTGGTGTTAGGCGAAAAAAGCGTGATAGCAGCGGGGTGCGGTAAAGGAAGTCAAGGAGGTGCTTTGTGACGAGGTCAGGTATTATTGACCATCCTCCGAGAGAGAGAAGGGAGCTCATTGTGTAAGGATCGTATTAAACGGGTATTTCAATCTCTCCTAGAATCGTAAGTTCGGGATTGTCGAATGTGCGTTGAAGCTGAGGCTCACCGAACAACGGAATTCAAGCTGTTAAATCTACCTCTAGTAGTCGTTGCGAGATAAACACGTCTTTTGTTCTGTTAGTGAGGAATGGACACGTATTCTTCGAATTTCTTTCAAGAGGTGGCCGTTGTCCGACGCTTTGTTACAAAAGGTCTGTATTTACGCTTGGGTCTTGCAATTGTGCAAATCGACAACGACAATGAATCCTTCTCCAATTCATCGATCATCTCTTACCCTGTATTTTTGACCTGGAGGTGCTCTCTACGAAAACTTTCGCAAATTCACTGCCATCTATCTTTAAATTTTCGAGATGGCGATGCAGAGGGTCGGGGGAACCTGCTGGGAACTGCCCCGATCAAATGCCCTGCGGGGGCAGATAGGCTCACGCTAAGCGGTCGTTATCCTATTGAACCTACAGGCACGAAGTTGAACTTGAGTTGAACAGCCTTACACCCAACAAACCTTTTATACTGGCGCTGGTCTCTCTTTCGTTGCACGCCAGTCCCTCACAGTGTTATCGATGACTTCCGCCTTCAGCCCCAAAGTTCTACCACACGACAGTCCAGTAATACGTTTGCTGGAAGAAAATGACACGGGTCGTGGTGTTTACATCTCACATATCGATAGGACCTCTGTGAAGATAAAGATGTACGTCCCATTATCGACTTCGATCCATTGTTTTCGAGGCCGACCTCTTACGTTCATTCACAGTTACGTGTTTATGGTCCCACTCCTCATGTACACCACCATCGCCGCCTACATGTATTGGCGCGCAACCAGAAACTATGATGTCGTCCTCGCACTGGTGCTGAACGACTTCTACTATGTTGAAACCGCTGCCTCGAGGAAACTGAAAAATGGATTCTGGTCGTGGTGCTGGAGGTTCATGGTCGCGTCGTTCGATTACTATATGCTCAGCATCCTCTGGCCACTCCTCCGCACATTCGTTACCAGCCATTTGTGGCTACGCCTCCGTTACGGCTTTCGTCAAACCGAAGTCGTCTTCCGCGCCCCTACTGGTAGGGAGTATGACAATATGCTTGCGCTCCCCCCAGCACAGTTCCAGGAGGCTTGGCAGGCGTCTCTGCTGCATGCCACGAGTCGCCAGTTTCTCATGGGAAACACTGGGTTCAACACCCGTTCCCCGCCTTGGAATCTTTGCTACACGGCATCGACGGACGCGTATCACCTGGCCAACTCTGGTCAGTTTGATTTGAACAATTGGGAACTGAGCGTGTGGCAGAAGAACGAGCATCAACAGTGGTCGGTCTGGGAGGCGTGGAGACATCAGGATCCCACACTGAGCACGAGGGCGCTTGATATGATAAAGGCATGTGTATTCCCTTTGAATGTGATTGACAATTGGTAACAGCTGACTCTGTTCTTTTTGCAGGAGAAACTGCTGGCGGAGGGAAGGGAGGAGTTTGTTGAAAGGTGGCAAGCTCTTTTGGCCGAACAGGCGAACATGGCTTTGTTAGCTTCTGATGTTACCCCTGGTATGCATCAGCTCGTCCAGTCCGTCAATGCCCTTTTCAAGGAAGAGGGACTTGACCTCGGAGAGTTGTGGCTGGAAGCTATTTCAGAAGCACATCGGGTCCAGAATCAACCTGCCTTGGAGGAACCTGAGCAGCTTGCAACATAACGGACCACTTGCATCTTCATGTGAACGACACCAGACGCAATTCCCATCCATACTATATCCATTCATCCTTGATGGTTGCTTGCGCATTAGAGAGTTGATTATAATGTTAGTCCAACCTCCTCCGACTCGACTATATACTCTTCTTTTTACACCCAGTGCTACTATCTTCTGGCGAGCTTAAGGAGCGAGTTTGAAGTTGCCCAGTCACATGTTCGCTGGCCCGGTCAGTGTGCTCATTTTGAAGAGTCAGGCACCTCGCTTAGCCCTTCCATCTCAACTCTCAATTGGTCATTTTACCTCAATGCTATGCATCGTGGCAAAGGCAACTCAACGTTAACTTTCAAAGCCATCGTCCTCGTCCAACTGACATGCGAGCCTCTTTGAGCAGAAGAATATGTTGAGTGCCGCTTGGCTCTGCTTGGCGGGGTTCTTTTCAAGATGGCAATGCAGCGTCGCGGGAATCTCTTGGTTATCTACCTTGATCAACTTCCCTGCGGGGACAGATGGTTATTTCACCGGTACCGCACCACTCAGCCGCGAAGGTGAACAGCCATATACCCAACAAAAACCTTTCATACTGGTGATTCTCTTCCACGTCGTTCGTTACACGCGATTCTGTTATCCATGGCCTCCAACTTTGGTGCCAAAGTCCTTCCAGAAGATAGTCCGGCGATACGTTTGCTGGAAGAAAACGACACAACCGGCCGTGGTGTTTACATATCCCCTTGGATGTACCCTGATGTACCTGGCTCGCACTCATTATATCATAAACGGTAGCTATTTTTAGAACCTGTGACTTCAGCCAGGACCCCCGAAAATCCTGCTAAATGGTAGATACCGATCCGGACAGAAATTTTCAAAATGAGGTGCTAGGTTAGATACAAACCGGACAGGTTTTCGAAAAAATCAGCAAAATGCTAGATACGAAATCCGGACAGGTTTGCGAGGAGATTGACAGGCTGGATACTAACCGGACAAGTATGGTTGCTTAGTCTAACGGAAAAAATGTATATACTTCACTAGGCTCGTCGTGTGGTCTGGGGTTCGAATCTTGCACTGCACACAAAATTTGGCCCTGAGTAGGCTAGATACGAAGTTTGGACAAATTTTTGAAAATTTGTCTAGGCTAGATAAAATCCGGACATACTTCGCCAAAATTGGTACGGACAAGAATCTGGAAATCGGCAATTTTAGTATCTACCCTTTAGCAGGATTTTCGGGGGTCCTCTTCAGCCTCTTCACCTTTCCCAGAACCCCTGAAAGCTCACCAAGATGCCTGATCCTTGGTGGTAAAAAAATTCCCACGAATTTTGAGTTTCTACAGTATCTGCATCTTTTGGATGGTTGGGCATCCTTTTCGAAAAAAAAATCCGATGAAAAAGGTCAATTTCTATCCGGACTTTGCCCAAAAGTGAAATTTTTATCCGGACAAGTAAAATGGACCCTGAGGGCGCATTTCTGGGTCTTTTTCTCCCAAAATTCGCCTATGGCTTCCTTTGATGTCTACGCTCATCTTTCATTAGGGTGCCAAAACAATTATATGTTGAAGTTTTCCGCTACATAGCGCCATCTTTGCAGATTTTTGCTCAAAATGGCTCGATTTTGCTTGGATCAGGCATTTGACTTCAATTTCAGGGGTCCTCCTTTCCCACTAAGTCCAACAGCCTCCTTCCGTCGTAGCCACTCCTCTCGTCCAACATCGCTTCGAATTTTCTAGCAGCAATCTCGGGAGTGACTGTTTCTCAGCCCTAGCCCTGTTAGGTGAAATTTGTTCTCAGCGCTAGTACTTAACGGCATCTGTTGGACAGTTGCATAGGTTTCAACATCGCAATCCAGGGCGACATGCCACCTCATGCCACCTCCAAGTAACGGATTTCCTATCTTGAGAACGGGGTTGTACTACGGGCGCTTGTTACGATACTTAAGCTTGCGATAGCCTTGTTGAGCAGCCTTATACTTGACTTTACTTCATAACCGCACCACCCCCAACTCGTTGCACAGGATCTGCACAAGACACACTCACTCATGGACACAGTCTTTGGACCCAGAACTCTTCCTCAAGACAGCCCAGCCATACCCTTGCTTGAAAAAAATGGCGAAGGTCGAGGCGTCTACATCTCCCACCTTGATAGGAGCCCTATCAGCATTAAGATGTATGTCCTATCATTTGAACCTCGATCCACTGTGGCTGATTTCTTACATGCGTAAAAAGATTAGTATTTGTCGTTGTACTTCTCATGAACGCCGCCTTCGCCGTCCTAGTTCTCTGGCGGGCGAGCAAGAACTATAATGTCGTTCTAGCACTGGTGCTAAACGACTTCCATTACGTCGAAGCAGGAGTCTTAAGGACGACGAGAAAGGGGTTTTGGTCTTGGTGCTGGACGTTCATGGTCGCCGCGTTCGACTACCGTCTGCTTGGCACCTTGTGGCCAAAAATCCGCGAATTCGTCACAGGCCATCTCTATTTCCGAATTCGTTGTGGCTTTCGGAAGACAGAAATCGTTTTTCGTGCCCCTACGGGCAAGGAGTTCGATGAAATGCTGACGCTTCCCATGATAAAGTTTCAGAAGGCTTTCCAGATGTCTCTACTTGACGCCACGAACCGTCAGTTCATCTTGGAGAATACTGGATTCAACACTCGTTGTGCGCCTTGGGAACTTTGCTACGCAGCGTCGATGGCTGCGTACCGCCTAGCTGACGATGGGTTGTTCGATATGAAGAACTGGGAGTTGACCGTGTGGCAAAAGGATGTATACAATCGGTGGACAGCTTGGGAGACATGGAGACATCAGGATCCTTTCTTGAGTGCGATGGCGCTTGAAATTTTGAAAGCATGTCTGCTTCCTTTGACTTTTGAAGACCCTCGCTAATAAAGTTTTGTTCCCTAGGAGAAACTAAGAATGGAGGGGAAGGATAAGATCGTTGCGAGGATGGAAGACGTAATTTCAGCTCCTCTTTCTGAATCAGTCAGGCAGGAACTGGTACACTCCATCATTACCCTTGCTAGAGCAGAGGGATTCGACATGGAAACGAGTTGGATCGAGGCCATCTCAGAGGCGGATCGGATCCACAATCAATTTCCACAACTGCAATGACAACCGGCTTGTCGAATGGAATCTTTGTACCAACCTTATTCTTGACATGTTTGGCCATTTTCTCGTTAGACACGCCTTTCATTCATTCTCTCATTCTAGTGACCTTCAACTCCATTGGCTCCCCGCTCCTTTTGTAAAATAGAGATTTTTAATATCATCCGAAGGGCTCTGTCAAATACATAATCTTGAATACGCACAGCTTGACTGTGAGTAACTCCCACTGGCATACGTCCCCAGATCCAGCGATGATCCTCAAGTCGCCAAATTTGCGTCCGTACTATGGCTGACCCCTTTTTCAATCGCTTTTCTAAAGCTATTTTTCACGAGACTTGGCAAGCGGCATTCGCCTCTAGTATGGCATACAGGAAACTGTTGGGTTATTTAGTTTGGTAAGTGCTTTTCATCTTCACACCGTGCCTCCTTTCCGAACTAATATCACTTTTGAGCCATTTTTCACGAGATTTCGCCACATAGCGAGAGGGAAGAACCTCATTGTGAAGACAGTTCTCGACACTGCAGCCTAGCACTTCAAACACAAACTAGGACGCGATAATAAACGTTGAGAGCCATCTTTCAATCCGATCAGGTGTTCTGTGTTCACGGCGTTATGAAAGTTCAAGGAAAGAGCAAAAGACTTACAATCATTGTAGAAATCGGCGACCATCGCTTTGATATGGCCAACAACTTCTTTGAACCTAGCTTCGCCCTGAGGTTCCAAGATATCAAGAATCCATCTTTCCTTGGGCGCAGTGTCGGTAACAAGGTCGGGATGAGGGACATACGCGGTGGTGTGAGTGAGCGATTCGCAACGGTATACTCGTAGACACAGATCCGGGTGCCCAAGGCACTTAGGCCATAGAGCGTCGGGATGGGGATATTTTCTGCAGTAAAGTCGAGAACCATGTCCCGCATCTGATCATCCGCCTCCTTGCGTGCGGAATCCGTATCATATGCGATGTAGGTCTTGATCGAAAAAGAGTATGGGAACCCTTCGCCTTGTAAAAGTTGTGATAAAATATATGAACTAAGGAGCAATCTGGTAGTGTTCGGAAGCTGGGAAGAGCTGGTTAAGGAGAGTGTTAAATGGCCGGTAGTAATCGCTTTCTTCGGTAGTGAACTTGTTAACAGGTTCGAACTGTAATGTGATGAATTCAGGCCAAGGCATATCTTAAACCACTAATCAGTAAAATACAGGTGGAGATGTCTAATCGTTTACTTACTGGCTTTGAAGATCAAAGTGCGGTTTAAGCCCCAATATGTTTCACGCAGACCAGTAGAGGACGTCGAGAGTCTGCCCCTCCGTCCACTATACCCTACCGCTATTGTTTGAGGCCGAGCCCCGACTTGATTCCACCCATCCAGTTAAAGTTCAATACAGTTCTTGCAGCGCCCACCGCAAAACCTCTCAATAAGCGGTTGATTTCTTGTGGGTCCGTGCACGTGGGAACTGAATTGTTGTTTTATGATGCTGGGTGTGGTTTCATTGTAGTTTTATTCTGGTTATTCGAGGTTCTTGACGGCGTCGTTGTCGTTTTAGCCACTGTTTATTCGTTTTCTTTGCTCTGTCGTCGTTGTTCGCGTCGTCGAGCAGTACATTGCGCTCATCTTTGCGCCAGAGTCTCCGAATTCGAATTCCCCCACTCCTTGACCTTTTCTTCTTTCGCGTGCGTGTCTTTTCTTTTAACCCACCACACTCGTTTGCCCGGTCCCTCCACCCCCACGCTCCCTACGTTTCTCTAACATCTTTTCTCCCCCTTTATTCTCAATAATTCCGCCGTTGCCTTACATCCCCCCATCTATTTACCTCTACTCTCCTCATATATCGTTTCGATGGACGAATCAGCAGCCTTCGCAACTCATTACAACTCTTACGGTTTTGACCTCGACATGATGAAGGTGAGTAGCCGCCCTGTGACACGTATACTGCCCAAAAGTTGATACACCACCGTCTTTAGCGCTCAATGGATCCCATTGGCGGCCCTGATGCTAAAAAAGCGCGCTGGTCCCCTACCTCTTCTTTTGCTGCCCAAAACAACGGTAACGTTGCAAACAACACACGCGACGCCTTCGCAAACTACGGTTATGGTCCCCAGGCCAGTATTTCCCAGTCGGCTTTCAACGGCTCCCCTCTGAACGGAACCGGCTTTGCCGGAAACCCACTCTATTCGACTCCTTCGTTGTCCATCAACACCCAAGCAAATGGAGTGGCGATGAACCCACAATTAAGCCCCAACACTGCTGCTGCCGCTTTTGCCGTCCAGCAACAGCAGCATCAGCAACAGCAGCAACAACAGTTGCAACAGCATCAGCAGCAGCAACAACAACAAAATCAGCAGCAGCAGCAACAACAACAAGCCGGCCAGAACGGAAATGGTTATGGTGGCTTTGGTGGTTATAACATGTTGGGCATGGGTCTGCCTGGAATGAACATGAATATGTTGGGTTCCTTCCCCTACAATGGGCAGATGGCGAACTTTGGACAGGTGACTCCTATTTTTTTTGTCTCTTTTGTTTTACATCATACTCACGTTTCAAGTTTCCAATGCAGAATTTTAACCAGCAGCGTATCCCTTCGTTGAACCTCAACATTCCCAACGCTCAAGCGGCAGCTTACTCTCCCGTAGCTCTCAATGCAGCCCTCTCCGCCTCGTCAAATGCGACTGGGCGTACGGTCTACGTCGGTAACCTCCCAGCCACCGCCTCTGTAGACGAGTTGTTGAACCTCGTCCACTTTGGCCCGCTGGAGTCTGTCCGCGTTCTCCCCGAAAAGTCGTGCGTTTTCCTCTCCTTCCTTGATGGTGCTACCGCCGCGGCCTTCCACGCCGATGCTACTATTAAAAAGCTGGCACTGCACGGTCAGGAGCTCAAAATTGGCTGGGGCAAGCCTTCGCCTGTCCCTGCGCAGGTGGCGCTTGCCATCAGCCAGAGCAATGCGAGCAGGAACGTCTACCTCGGTGGACTCGAAGAGGGCATGACTGAAGAGCAATTGAGGGATGAGTTGAGCCGCTTTGGTCTCATTGACCAGGTTAAGATTGTGAGGGACAAGAACATTGGGTTTGTTCACTTCTTGAGCATTTCTGTTGCCACGAAAGTTAGTTTCGTCTTCTACTCCTCTTTGGAACTCGAACTCATCGTGGTGACGTACAGGTCGTCAACACGCTGCCTACGGAGCCTTCTTGGGCAGGCAAGCGTGTCAACTTTGGTAAAGACCGCTGTGCCTACATCCCGAAATCTCAGCAAGCAGCCGCTCAACAGGCTCAAGCTGCTGCTGCACAATCTCTTGTTGCACAGTCGACCATGTCTCCGCAAGTTGCATTTACTAATTTCTCGCCTTATGCCAACGCTCCGTTCACGCCCGTGGATATGATGGGCGGCATGGCCGGAGGTGCTGCAGGTGTTCAAGGCATGAACAGGACCGTTTACTTAGGTAACATCCACCCTGAAACATCCTCGGAGGATCTGTGCAACGCCATCAGAGGAGGTGTGCTGCAGAGCATTCGCTATATGCAGGACAAGCACATTGCAGTAAGTGATTTCATTTTGCATCTACAACATTATTCACAACAGCTCCTGCAGTTCGTGACATTTGTTGATCCGGCGGCGGCGTTCACTTTCTTCCAGGTGGCGTCTTATCAGGGTCTTACACTAAACAACCGTCGTCTTAAAATTGGCTGGGGCAAAAACTCGGGGCCTCTTCCTCCCTCCCTTGCCCTTGCTGTGCATTCTGGCGCCACCAGAAATGTCTACATCGGCAATATCGAGGATTTCGAGACTTCCACTGATGAAAGGCTCAAGCGTGACTTTGGTGAATATGGCGACATTGAGCTCGTCAATTTCCTTAAGGAGAAGTGCGTAATCTTTTTTTCTCCCGTCGTTGTGAGTAAGATGTTGAACCGGTTGTTTTAGGAACTGCGCCTTTGTGAACTTTACCAACATCTCTAACGCCATCAAGGCCATCGATGGCATCAAGAACAAGCCTGAGTACGCCAACTTGCGCATTGCTCATGGAAAGGATCGCTGTGCCAACCCTCCCCGCTCTGGCCCTCAGGGCGGTTCTGGAGGCAGGCGTACAGTCAGTAACAACGGGCCTAACTCGGCAGAGCCCGTGAGCGCCGTCGGTGAGGACGACGCGGAGGCAGAGGCCTTTTTGAATGGCGCAGATGAAACGCATATCCTCGAGCAGCAGGATATGCATGTGGATGGAGAGACCCATCTGAATGGCGTTGCAGCATGATTGTGTCTTCGACTTTCATCCATACCCCCCTGTGCAACCGACTCGAGTTCTCTCCCTTGGATACCCCCTCACTCTCGTTGTGTGCATCATGCCAGTCGCTCTCTCTCCATCTCTCTCTGTCTACTCGTTCTGCGTCTGCTCCGAATCCGTCTCGTCTCCTCTTGTCTCCTCCATCTCCCCCCGCGATATATTGAAAACCTCTCTTCTAATCATCCCACGCACAAGTGGATGGGAGGAATGTTTGGCTCCGGGATCCCCACCTTCAACATTGTCCATCCTTTCTCCCACTACTCGTTCCCCTTTGTTGTGGGACCCTCATGGACATAGCCGTCACTTGTTCATCAAGGTTGGATCTTTTGGGCTATTGGTTGTCGCCTCTTTATTTCCTTTGTCCTTCCTTACCTAGTAACTTGCCTTTTAAATTCTCTTCTGCATATATGTTGCTGTTTCGCCTACTCTTATTACCTTTGAAATATTCATTTTATTCTTTCCATCTTCCCTTTTTGTTTCTCCTTTTTTTGATCTTTCTCTTCCAAAAAAAATGGTGGTATACCCCACTGTCCACTCGCTTTCACCACTTACACTCGTTGACTCTCGCTCACTCAACCAACCTCCATCATACTCTCTCCCACATCCCACATCCCCACTTTTCATAATTGATTTGTGCTTTCCTGACATGGAGCATAATGGCATACAATACACCACGCGCACTTTTTCACATCCCTGTTTACTTGGAATCTCTCTCACTGGACCCGTACCACTCTCAAATGTATCATGTGCTAGCTAATCCGAATCTTTTTTTCTGTCTCCCCAAAAGACATTTCGTGCTTGTCGTGCATACATAGATCCCGCGAATAGGCGCTTCCATCGTCTTCTAAGTATTCATGCAAGCTGTAGCGACTCAGTGGATGTATTGTTCACATAATAGCAATTTGCAATAAAACTGGAAATACAACAGCACAGATACGACAGAGACGTGGATGAACCAGGGTGTAGATAGAATGGGTATTGAAGTAGATAGAATGGGTATTGAAGGAGATAGAGCTATATGGTGGTATCAGAGAGCTCAAGCGCTCATGCGTTCGGCGCCTCCATAACCGCGTCTAGATAATCTCCCGGCTGATTATCAACGAACGCTTGGTACATGGGCGGAAGAGCGCTCAAGGGTTTACCAGGCTCGGCGCAAGCAGGCGGGCCTCCTTTAGCCACGAGAGATTGAAGGTAGCACTCCAACCTGAGTTCCTAACAACGCAAAAACGACGTTTAAAAAATCGAGGATTTGTGTGGGTTGGTGCAAGGAACACACACCTCGAAGCTAGACTGCATCAACGTCGGAGCGGCTGTGATACTCTGCAGCACTTCGCCTGCTCCATTACATGCCCGGCGTTGGCGACATCGCTCTACGCGATTGGACCCTGCAAACTTGCGCTGCCACATAGGTATATATCCTGTGAGGGGTCGGGGAATAGTGTGGATATTTGGGTACTTATTGATAAAGCGGGGCGTGTCTGAGGTATCGAATTCATCGCCAGAGTCGTCGAGTTCAATGGTCATGGTGGAGGTTGGCTTGATAGTGGATAGCATGATAAGTTCAAGTAGCGCAGAGGGGTTGATAATGATTGATGAATCTTGGAGATAGAGGGTATTTAAGCGATGCGTGATCCACTTTTTGGGCGCCGCGAACAATGGTTCTGGCCCGGCGGCACCGTTCAGTGGCTTTTGGCCGTGTGAAGCGATCCAGGGGAAAGTGGCTGCCTCATGTTCACGGCCCATAAAAGACGCGTCGGACACGTGACCGTTACTTGAATTTCCTGGCCACCCAAAACTCAGCTTTGTATGTCCAACACATCATGGCGTTTCGGTCGCCTGTGTATTGGCATTCGACGGTCTTCATAGCCTCGAGCGAAGAATCAACATCGTCTCGTTGGATGACGAACCCAATTTCCTCGGCAGCCTGTAAGACTTCTTCGAGGCTGAGCTCGATTTTCGATTGACCTCCTCCTGTCCAGAGGAGAGGGCCGAGATTGATCCATGATCCTCCAGGTCGGAGGAGCTTAAAGATGTGTTCCATCGTAGCAAACACGTTGATGGACGTGTCGATGAAGAATAGGGTGACAATGAAGTCATACCCCTCTCCTGAATCTGTAGGGGACTTTGTCCAAAATTCAGGCTTGTCCAAGGGGCTAGCGGATGGAGAGGAGAGTGTGAGGAAGTCCTTTTCGACAAGCGTGAGATTCGGACCGAGACGTGGAATGACGTCCGGAAATGAGATACGACGGAAAGTGGAGGCGTTGGACCGCTGATGGGAGAACCAATGTGCGTAAGGCCGAAGATGGTGTTCGTTCGGTGTTGCCGTCGTCTTGGGAGAGAGGAGGAAGCGAAACGCGAGTGTCATGAAGAAAGAAAGTTCGTTTGCAGTTGTCGCAAAACCTGTACACAACGCAGAGGTCACTCCAAGAACTTCATAACAAAGGCAGGCATAACATACCTAGTTGAGATATCTCCCATGCAAGTCTTCCCAGACCAGAGCCAGGCACTAGCACCTTCTTCTTAGCCCGTTCATCGGCGTCTACCTCCTTGAGCAAATCAAGAATGGGGGTAAATATTTGCTCCCGTTCTGGGGCTCCCTCCTCGCTCCAGTCCCGAATGAAGTGCTTCAACGACTCTCGAACGCGTGCAAGATCTGCTGCGGAGACGTCCGCTGAGGGTATGCTGCTCAAGGATGGAAATTCCTCGGAAGCCAATTCAGCGATGCTCTCTGCAACGGTTGCATTTAACGCAGTCACGTCCCTCAACTGGTCTAGTTTCTGTGGATAGCCAATTTTACGACCTAAATTCCTATGTGCCCGTCCAAGAGTAGTATATGAGGCGAGCATGCGAGACTGTTCTTCCGCTGACATTCTTGCGAATTGAGTATATGAGGTGTTCGCTCGTTCCAGGGAGAAGTACTGAGAGCCCGAATTTTTGCGCAAGTTGAGCGAGAGCAAGGCGCGTATATCTGACCAGGAGAACGACGGAGACAACCTCCGCCCAACCAGAATAATCGCTAGAGGAAGGAGCAACGCCAGAAGAACGTCAAAGCCGGCCATAGCAAGTGGAGGTTGGACGTTCATCGTCGTCGTCGATGTGGTGTGGTGTCACGTAACTCAGATTGGACCCGCTGCAACCTCTTCCTCTCACCATCACCGCTACACATCGCAGCAAATTGCATCAAATCGTCCCCAACGTCCGTATTATGTATGCACCGCTAGAACTTAGAAGTGGCTTGGACGTCGCAACTGGGCTATTCAATTTGAGAGCGTACCAACCAGTATTGCTTCCTCACGCTAGCTCTGGCCTGTCGCTACGGTTGCTCAGGGCATTGGAATCAAGTGCATAGGGACCAAATGGAGACCATACGTCTCACTATAAGAGCCACCATGCTGAAAGACCATCCTTATCTCGACCTCTCTTTCTTTCTCCTCCCAAATTACGGCTATTATGCAAATCCTGTCTTTACTTTTCGTCTCTGCTCTTGCTCTGTCAAGTTCTGCTTTCCAACACGGCATAGGCAAGAACCGCTGCCAATCAATGGTGAAGGCTTCCTCTGTTAATGCTGCTACTACTCCTGCAACCACTGCCGTTGCTCCAACTGTCACCCAAAGTGGTACGTCGATCTTGACCTTAACAATATTCATCCGGACACCTTCCTTACAACTGTGACCCTCAGCCCGCCAATCAATGGTGAAGGTTTCCTCTACTAGTGCTGTTCCTACCCCCGCACCCACTGCCGTTGCTCCAACTGGTGGTACGTCGATCTTGACCTTATTCACCCTGACACCTTCCTTATAACTGTTGACCCTCAGACGCTTTCGCGGACCAGGTTGTCGCTCAGCATAACGCTGCACGGGCGAAGTATGGCGCGAATCCCATCACCTGGAATGCTGCCCTCTACTCCGCTACTCAAGCCTATGCCAACCAATGCAAGTTCCAGCACAGGTGGGAAAAGTGTATGATGGAGGCCGAATTAACATGCTAACCATCCCTCCTAGCTCTGGCGGCAATTATGGAGAAAATCTTGTGGGTGCTTCCTTTTTTGCGCCTTTTTTTTTTTACTGACTTTTGGTAAGGCCGCAGGTACTGGCAAATACGGCATCGTGGACGCCGTAAACGGCTGGATGAGCGAGGCTTGTAAGATTATTTCCTTATGACCACGTTACACTGGCTCATCATTTCACCCATAGCCGCTTACGATTGTTGGTGTACACCTTCTCTTATGGCTGAATACTTCTTCTGATATGCCTGCACCCTACAGATAACAAGCCGGACTTCTCTAGCGCTACTGGCCATTTCACTCAGGTTAATACCTTCCCAAGGTTGATTCTCCCTATCGATGGCTGCTAACTACTTTCCCATCATCAGGTCGTCTGGAAGGGCACCACACAAGTCGCATGCGCTGTGGCCAGCTGCCCTGCAGGCACTATCTTCTCTCAGGCTTCTCAATACGTTGTCTGCCGCTACACCCCACCTGGCAACTTCCTTGGCCAGTTTGCGTACGTGACCTTACCTTCCAGCATTTTTATCCTTGCTGAACGCTCGCGTACCAGTGCCAACGTCGGGAGGCCTGTTTAACCATCTACCCTGAGCCAGCTCATGGGCGACGTTATTCGTCTCACTTCCGAATGTCGATAAATTATTGGTCGTGAAAGTTGCGCAGCGCGCCTTCTGTTGAATAAGATTACATATCCCAGTGATTAGCACCATCATCACATCGAGTCGATCTCTTGCATTTATCAAAATTTGTCAGCCTTGTTTCCCTTTCATTGAAGTCAACGTCTGCAGACAAGGAACCTGCAAGGTGGACTCGAACCAGTTTTAAATTGATCTCCACCATTCACTAGCACTATGGAAGAAGGACATGCAAGAATGTGATTTGTTCGAGGATCCACGACTGTAGAGGTAGGTGATTGATCGACTGTAAATTATCAATGAAAGCGTCTAGTTTAGGAGACCCATTTACCTGTAACGGGGCTCAGCAAACATTTCTCTCAACCCGGACTCCACCAGAATTGCCAAAAATCGCACCGTGCCCGGAGTTCAATGGAATGCGGGTCCGGCTTTCTAAATGTCTTTGGCTCTAGAAACCATAGACCTCATTCGGAAATGACTGTTTGGAAACGCCGAGGTTTTTCCTGCGACATGACTATATTCACAGCGTCCCTCCTTAGAGTCGGGGGTATCAGTGTTGGTTGTCTCAACGGAATCCCAGTCTGATACTCCTTCTGGTCCATCAAGCGAGATTCAATGGAAGTACATGCGGGTCCAGAACGCTATTTGAGTTTTACCTGCTTCATGCCGCGACAAGCTACGAAGACTAGAGCTCTTGGCCCAGTTGAAGATCCAGTCTCCTCCTCTTGTTATTCGGGGTCTTTGGTCGCAGGACAAATCCGACCCAATCGACGACATTATCTATGGTCTTTGATCAGGGGAACGAAGCTCTTCTTGTTGCAGTAGGCGACCCTTTTGCGAACTTCCGTCCCCAACCAATCTGCGCGCAAGGGATCGTTGCTTAGCACCCCCAGAGTTCTTGATCTATTGGCGGTCCCGAATTTCTTTCGAACGGCAACCAAACCCGGAGAAAATATTTTCTAACCAGCTTAAAAACAGGCATGGATTAGGAGGTCCCCCTCATCTTGATTCTCTTTCTCTGTCTTGCAATAACAACTAAAATGCAACTCCTCTCCTTACTTCTTGTCCCTCTTTTGCTTTCTCTTTCAAGTGTTGCCCATCCCGCATACCCCTGGAAGCGAGGTACGATTTTGTCATCCACACAGAATCTTTGATCAACAATTTGCCAACCTCAGATACATTCGCGAACCAGGTCGTCGCTCAGCATAATGCCGCTCGAGCCAAGTACGGCGCGCAACCCATCACCTGGAATAGTGCACTCTATAATAACACACTAGCCTATGCAAAAAAATGCGTATTTGAACACAGGTGATATTGAGTCCTTATGGCAGGCAGGGATGAGCGAGTCGCTGACCTTTTCACTTCTAGCGGCGGCGGCGGAGGCTATGGGGAAAATCTTGTAGGAACATCTTTTGTTGCCGCCTTCTTGTGCTGATGTTTGAGCCCAAAAAGGCTGCCGGTTCTTGGGATACCTATGGTATCGTGGACGCTGTCAACGATTGGATGAGCGAAGCTCGTGAGTTCAACAAAAATTTCATCAAATCTACTGGTTGACGATTTGATCCATAGCTGACTATGACTGTTTGTTATTTGAGAGTTCCTTCTGAAGTACTTTTTTGCTTAGTTTAATATCTTGCAGACAATCATCCTGGCTTTTCGGAAGGCACGGGCCATTTCACCCAGGTTTGTATCTTCTTGCAGTCGCATTCCACACGTTCACGAGCAACTAAACTTGGCACTTGACCACAGGTTGTGTGGAAGAGCACCACTCAGGTCGCTTGTGCCGTCGCTTCCTGCCCCGCTGGTACTATTTTCTCCGATTATGCATCTCAGTACGTCATCTGTCGCTACACCCCTCCCGGGAACTACGACGGAGAATTCGCGTATGTCCTTTCACCGCTAGCCGGAATTTGTCTTTGTTCGCTAAACAGTTGTTTGACAGCCAAAATGTCGGGAGACCTGTGTAATAAGTGTCAACTTCCACCCCCCCCTTCTCGCTTATCGACATCCTGCCCTTGAGTGGCATGCGACACATGACGGCTGGCGCCGTAAACTCCGCAACTTTCAGCCTTCGGCGTTGAGCGCCGTTCCACTCATTTCTTCATAAGTTGTTACAGCCAGTGTTTCTAGTCACTACAATGGCAGCTCTCTATTTTCGTCTGGTGTCCGCGTCGGCGTTTGGGGGGATAGTAACCGAACTATTTCCTGCAAAAGTCACACCTATGTGAGAAGGCAATGCTTGTTGCCAGTGTTTTTTGGCTCATTAGGTCGCGAAGAAGCAGAGGTATCATCAGCAAAACGTCCAATTACACTTTGGTAACTTAGACTTTGATGTTAGCAACTTTGAGCAACTATTTCAACTTTACCGTGAACTTTCACTTCAAGAATACAACTTCGACTTTGATTTCTACTCTTTGAACTACTTTATGAACGTCTTTCACTTTGTAGTTTAAACTTTGAAAAGAGACTAAGAATTGTAAAATCAGAAGTTTTGAAGGCTATCTCATGAGCATGATATCCATATACTTATTTATGTAGAAGGCTTTGAAAGAGTCTAAACTATCATTAAAATAAAAGTTGTGAGGAATGCGCGTTGCGCCGTCACAAACACCCATCAGATGAGCATGGATTCGCAATGCCGTGACACCGGATCGAAAAGAAAGAGCAGACACTGCGTGTGACAAGCAGCCTGGGAAGCCTTCGAGGTTGCTGTCCTGCTCAACGAAAGCGCAATCATATCTTGCTCCATGAGCCGACTGCCCGTACGTTCTCGAAACATTCCTCGCGTGCCAGACTTGTCACTGGGAGTGAAGTAAATGGCGAGAGTGGAGGTGTAGACGTGCAGGAGGTTGGGGATCGGGCGCATCGTGTCGGCTGAATATGGAGGCATTGAGCATGCCCCTAGCCTGGAAGTTGACGCGTGCAGCGGCTAACCGGACTGCTTGTGAGGGTAAACAATTAGTATTGCGCAGGATGGACAAAGCAATGTAGGTACTTACCATTCATGACCTTCTCCCATTCCTCACGACCCAGCGTATCAGCTCGTTCCTCACATTCGCATCCTTCCAGTAGAATTTACGCTTTGGATTTGAATGTTAAGATTTCGTGTACGCGTTATCGTGGTCTTGTTCGTCCCTCGCGTATCACTTCGGTTTGTAGTAGGTAGTCGTCATAGATCCACCCGTGAATATTTCAATCCTCATCGTCGTTTGTGTCGATCGGACTGCTTGTGAGGGTGTACTGATTGAAAGTGCGCAGAGGGCGGAACATGATGGAAAGCAAGGTTATACCTAGTAGCCAAAGCAAGTCCTCAAATGCGAATAGAGGAACGAAATAACCAAGAAACAACATACCTCTGAATGATTGGGCAACAAGATGCACGAAGTTTTCGTTTTTGCTCCAGTTGAATTGCCCGGCCCTCAGAAGGATGACGCGATCACGTTTTCACGTGACGTTGGTTCAAAGTAAGAAATTTTCGCGCTCTTTCTTCCTTCCCCCCCACCATCCTCTTTGCTGGTACTGATTGTACTGATTGGTCGCCGCTCACCCTCTTCTCCACCTGTCTTATCTCCACGGTCCCCCACCCACTGTGATCCACTCCTCCGCTTCTCCCCGAATTTCAAGTCTCGCTCTTAGATGGCAACCCCTTAGCTTCTTATGGTGATAGATCTAGTAAGTTTTCGTTTATCTGTTCCGTTAGACTGTCCTTGAAAGTATGGTCTTCCTAAAATAGGTCTGCTCAACATATCTCCCTGCAACGATAACAGGATCTTGGAGCGCAGTAGTACTCCTCTCTAGGAGTCAATTCTTGTGAGACGTGCAGTGGGGGAACGAAGCTGTAACGTGCAAGTTTTTTTTTCTATCTCCCTTGCGGATGAGTCATTGATCTGACTTCTCTCTGATTAGTTCTTGTCGCCGATCCGCCTTTCGTTGTGAGTGGGAGGATGGAGCGTGGTGTGCGCCATTTCACACTCCTTATGGCAGACGTAAGACGCGTCTACTGTGTAAGCTTTTTCTCCTATCTCCCTCGCAGATGGATTACTGATTTGACTTCTCTTCTGATGTAGTGCTCGTCGTCGATCGGAGGATGGAGCATTGGTGTGCGCCGTTCAACCCACATTCTTATGATATACTGACATGCATGCTCCTCCAGACTCGAAATGAATTATACAACCAAAACCAAGGCACGACGACCACGAAGACGACCACAGCGTGTTCACGACGATGATCGCGAACCACGACCACAACGCATCCATGCCAACGCGTTCACAACCACGCCCACGCATCGACAACCACGAACACAGCCATGCAACTGCGACCACGCTCACGATTGCTCCTCCAGACCACCAAGTCAACTCCACGGGATAGCGGCAGCGTGCACAGGGTCGAGTAGCGGTAGCGTGCCGTCGAGTAGCAGCGATTGGATGGATGTAGGCGAGAAGTCTCCGAACTAGTTCTAGCTAGGGCTTTATCCAGTACCCATCTACTGTACATGATCGTGTATTAGACACTGAACCTCAATGCTATTCCCTTTTCTGTTTCACGTCATGCTTGAGATCCAAAGTGACTAAAGAAAGTTGTACGACGAAAGTTTAAGATGAGTATCAAAGTGCTACGGAAAGATGTTTTTCAACTTTGGAAAGTGGTTCAGGAACTCTGAAAGTTCTTGTACCTTACTTTCCAAAGTTGTTGAACTCTTGCAACTTTCGTAACTTTACAACTTTGCAAAGTTACGAAAGTTGCCCAAAGTTCAATCGGACGTTTTCCTGATGATGTCAATTACTTTTCTGTTGCGTGCCCTCCCGCGGAGTCGATCAGGTCTTGGTCCAGCAAGCCGTTTAACATCTGGTTATGAGTCAGTGAATGCCGCAAAATGCACGGAACTTTGACCGAGTGGTAGAATGTAGAAAGATGAACCGTGAAGGCACAGGCACAGCTGTTGGTGTTCTAGGACGAGGCACAGCCAGCGGCAGAACGGGCACAGAGTTGCGCGCCTCCAGAGGGGTAAGTAGGTATTTGTAGCATATTATTTCGGTAGCCCTGATGGATAGCACCCAGACGTCAGAGCGTGAGCAACTACGTCTCCATTCAATGGGAAGACCAAAGTTCAGTCGATCCAGTGGACGGCTCGGAGGAAGACAATGTGGTGAGGACGATACTCGCGAGAAAAGCTGCAGGAGGCTCGCCTCCATTCATGGCGGCCAATCTCGAGCTCCCCAATCATTCTGGATGCGTGCTGTGTGGTGGCACATCTTTAAGTAGATATTGATCTTGCTGCAAATATCGTCAAGAACCCCCCAACTACTCAGGAATGTTCATACTCATAATGAAGCCCAATGCTGGACTTCACTGGAACAGCGAGGCCTGATAGGTTTTAGTTTTGTGTCCCTTGTGGCGCAGAAAGCTTGGGCTTGGGCCCTCCAGAAGACTTGGTGTCGTCCAGGGCCACTTTGTCGACTTGAAGGTTATCGCTCAAGAGGTTCCAAGTCAATGCTCCTTAGACTGGATCTGGGGACGTATGGTTGCGGTATTAAGTCACTCACAGTTATGCTTTGCGTACCCAAGATTATGTGTTTGACGACTCGGCCTTTCGGATCCCGTTGAATATCTTTATTTTGCACAAAGAACAAGGAGTCAATGTAGTTGAAGGTCACTAGACTGAGAAAAAGGAAGAAAGGCGTGTCTGACGAGCAAATGGCGAATCATGTCAAGAATGAGGTTGCCACAAGGATTCCGATTCGACTTGAAGCCGCTTGTCGCTGCAGCTCACTGCAGTTGCGGAAGTTGATTGCGGATTCGATCCGCCTCTGAGATAGCCTCAGCCCACCTCTCTTCCATGTCAAAACCCTCTACTTTGGAGAGGGAGTGTAGAAGTTCCTGCGTAGCCGGATCAGAAAGGGAAGCTGACGACACGCCTGCCAGTTGCATGTCTTCCAACCTCGCAACGTACTCATCCTTTCCCTCTGTTTTCAGTCTCTCCTAGGGAATAAGACTCTATTAACGAGGGTCTTCAAAGGTCGAAGGAAGTAGACATGCCTTCATAATTTCAATCGCCTTCGCGCACAATAAAGGATCCTGGTGTCTCCATATCTCCCTAACTGTCCACTGATCTCGATCCTTAAGCCACAGGCTCAACTCCCAGTTCTTCCAATCAAATACCCCCTCGTCAGCTAGTCGGTGTGCGTCTATTGATGCCGCGTAGCAGAGTTCCCAATGAGGATGACCTGTGCTGAATCCAGTACGC